GCAACTCAGGATCATCAAATTAAAGAACATTGGACGCAATGACCCACCGACACCTCCATTCTTGGTTGTAAGTAACCTAGCGATCTTCTAGCCCCTGGCGCCTCTGGATTCTCATTCGAGCAGCTGTGTAGGGCTTGGTGCTGATTCCAAGTTTCTGACGATCCATCTCCTCAACCGGAAGCAACGCCCGTCGCCATTGCACTTGTCGGCCGCACATGGCAATTAGATTGGTATACAAAGCGCTGCCTCGGCCAAGCGACCACCGGCTCTACCCCCAAATCTTGTAGGCCCGGTAGGAAAGGTTATCTGGCAGGTTAGCCGCCATTTGCCAGTCATCACATAATGTACAAGTAGCAAATATGCATGAAACTTCCCAAAGAAATAACGGGCAAACTAGGCGGGAACCAAGACCATATTTGCTGGACCCACGTTAAGTATCCATTGCTGAATCCCAATGATAATTGGTAGTACCAAGGCTGTTTGAATAAACATGATAATAAATGCATGAAACCGCGAACAAATCAGTAGGTTTGATGAATCGACATTATGAATTACAAGACACACATCCGTTGAACATGCTTGACTCACTACTAGTTGTTAAAGCAAGGTTGTTAAGGACGCTAGCATGCAGAAACACATGGGTTTTGTTTCAACATGTGCTTTGTCAATCCCATGCATGGCAATTTCAATGGGAACATGCTGTTCTAAGGTTTGATTTTTGGGGCTTTGGAGGACCACGCAAAGGGAACCAGGTACCCGCAGGAGGGAGAAAGAAAAAACACGTGCCTAACATATAAACAAGGAGTTTCTACTATATAAAAGTGGGTATACAGTCAACGTAGAGGGGTTTTAAGAATAGAAAGTGGGTTCGGGGCTAATGACCAACTATAATAAGGCCTTATAAGTTGGGGTGCATGACCTTTGCGAAGGACGTCAAAATACACATTTCGGAGGTGATTCTCCAAGCACGTTTCCATGGCCAATCTTTTGATACCCTAAAACATGCAACCACTTGGATTTTGAATCTGTTTGGATGACAACGTAATGATTATATTGCCATTTATGGCGCGCACACTCTCATGCCGGAATGAGTCAATCTCATCTGACTAAATTCTTGGCAACATCAGAGCACAGGAAAAGGCAAACGAGTAAGTTCCAGTATTGCACTAGAGTTAGCCCCAAAATGAGAGTGTAGTAAATCCCATACTAAAGGGTAATAATTCACTTTTATATCTTTTGGAGCCTGATGATACATATTAAAAAACAACAATATTATATATATATAATCATAATATATTATATATATATCTCTCTCTCTCTCTCTTTCTTTCTCTCTCTCTCTCTCTCTTTCCAGCGCCATCTCTCAAGTTCAGCGAGGCTAAAGGCGCGCGTGTGGCCTAGCCAGCTATATGTGTATATATATATATATATACATAATCAATATAATTCACTATGATGACCCTTCACAAAGGTTGACCCAGTTTCCCCTTTCTAGCGCCCAGCTGCTGGATCCGAACTTCGGCAGCCGAAAGAAGCTGTGCAGGGCCTGTTTCCATAAGGCCACCTTGCAGGCCGCGACCCGAAGAAACGTCGAAAAATCCACGTTTGTTGGATTCCTGGATGGATTCACATATGTTTAAAGGAACGACTACCGGGACATGAGCATTGTAAGTGAAGGTGTTTCAATTTGTTTCATATATGTGTTCCTTTTCATCAAGTATATTCAAACTGTGGTTTCATCTCAATGTTCCTTTAAACCACTTCAATGACAGATGGCAATTTTATGAATCTCCAATACCCAGAAAAATTGGAGATGTATATGCTACGATGTATTATTGAAGTAGGATCCCATTACACATGGGGATATCAACAAACAACACGAGAGCGGCTAAACTCGGCTACCAAGCCAAGAAAGAACTCACCTTTGAGCCAAAAGGTCTCCCTGAGCGGGATACAATGTTCCTATATATTCCTCTGTTTATGGCTAAATGAGCAGCTCGGATGAACAATATATATCAACATCACGTCTTGGCCCAACAACCAATTCACCCCTGCCTGGGCGAAGGTGCAAATCAAAGCTCCAGCAAAAGCAATATCAATCTGAAAATCCGCTTCCTCACTGATGACAACGCGCGCCGCGGGAGTTGGAATCAGCCATGCAAATCAGACACCGTGACTGTGGTGAATCAAGTGAACATGATCTGTAGTAGTATCTGCTGTCACAAACCTTGGGATTTTGTTTCCGATTTCTGGGTCTGAGGCCTAAGAGTCAAGTGACTATATGCACAAGAAAAAACAATGTGTTTCCAAAGGGGCCAGGTGGGCTTCAAGGTTTCAACATACAAACCCTACTGCAGAATGTACTTAAAACACCAGGCGCCTGTATTTCTTCGACAGCATCCAATGCCATGCGCCATTCTCGCACTTCGCTGCAGGAATGGACCGCTGAGGTGCACAGGATGATGTCGCGCTGAATGTGCACACGAGATGTTTCCTGGCTGGGCCCAGATGCCTCACACCCCAAGAAAAGTATCTGGAAATCAAACCTGGCAATGGGAAATATCCATTTGTCATGGCACGATCTGGGAAAATAATCTGTGAGGCGGCTTTTCTGTGCCGAGCCCCGATTGCCAAACCGGAACTAAATCACCAAAGAGCAAATTAGGCCTTGTGAAAAGGGAATTGTTTGGGAATCTCGTGTGTAGGTTAGGCTGCTCCCATCCAGTTAGTTCAGAACGTGTCTTTTCAATATTTCTGCAGGTCATGCGACACAAACAGAATAAATGGGGCTCAACAGGCACTAGTGTGGGTCGGCTTTGTAAGCACGGCACACACACACATATATATATATATATAATCATAATTAAATATAATAATCACATATATATATATATATATGTATACGTGAATTCATATAACTACCCAAATACATGTATACCGTAGATGTATGTATATATATATATATACGTATATGATATGACATGTGATATAGATTATATACATATTACAATATGTTGTCACCAAATCCAATTTCAGAGCCGTTCTCCTATTTATCTTGTCTGGTTTTATGATTCTTTTCTGCGCGGTAAGTCGCTTGACCCCTAGAATTCTATCGGAATCATGCCAAAACACGTCTAGTCTTTCAGGGAGGGCCCTCCTATGAAGGCAAGTTGGTTCATAACTTTGGGCTGGCCATGATTGAATTTATGGTGGATACATCTATAGAATCTATACCTAGGGAGACACGGACAGGTCAGGAGTTCGGATTTGCAAGACATTTTTTTGGTTTTTAGCTTGCCAGGTCTGTATATATTATATAAATATTAGATCATATTAGACTCTGTAGATGAAGTTACAATCCAACTTACTGGTTGGTGGTTTCAATCCCTCTGAAAAATATGAAATTCAGTTGAGATCATTATTCCCAATATATGGAAAGTCATAAAAGCCATGTTCCAAAGCACCAACCAGCTTGTAACTGGAGCGCCCCTTAACCATCCCGTTTTGCCTCAATCATCGTCAGGGAGTCTTGCCATTTCCGTGCCAATGCATCTGCCATCGAACCTGGTGACTTACGTCGGACTCCTGCTTTGGTTCAATGGGAGTTTGTCATCCTGAAAATTCCGCAGTTTGATTGGGAAAATCATAGGAAAACCATGGGAAATGGAGTTTTACCCTCTGGTTATTTAACATAGCGAACTGGAAAATCCAAAAAATAAATGGATATTTATAGCTGGGACAATCATCTGTAAATGGGCCATGTTCAATAGCGAACTGTTAAATTACCAAAGGGTATGTACAAACGAAACCCATATGAAACCCAAACGAAACCTATGTATTGTATATGCACCATGCATTTTTTTGGTAGAGTAAACTTTGAAGTAAATATGCTCTATTAGATACAAATCTCAAATAGCAAAGGTATTTGGGGCTGCCATGGCCTCTCACCACCGTGGATATGTCAAATTCTGGTGGGGGCCTTTTTCCAACAATTACTTTACTTCGTGTGATCCCCACCATGACATTTATACATTTTCTTGCTGGCAAATCTTCTGGCATTCTATCTGACATATCTTCTGACATTCTATTTGGCATTCTATCTGGCATATCTTCTGGCATATGATCTGGCAAATCTTCTGGCATTCTATCTGGCAAATCTTCTGGCATTCTATCTGGCATATCTTCTGGCATATATTCTGACATATCTTCTGGCATTCTATCTGACATATCTTCTGGCATATATTCTGACATATCTTCTGGCATATTTTCTGGCATATCTTCTGGCATCTATCTGGCATATCTTCTGGCATATTTTCTGGCATTCTATCTGGCAAATCTTCTGGCATTCTATCTGGCATTCTATCTGGCATATCTTCTGGCATATTATCTGGCATTCTTTCTGGCATATCTTCTGGCATTCTATCTGACATATCTTCTGACATTCTATTTGGCATTCTATCTGGCATATCTTCTGGCATATATTCTGGCATATCTTCTGGCATATCTTCTGGCATATCTTCTGACATATCTATCTGGCATATCTTCTGGCATATATTCTGACATATCTTCTGGCATTCTATCTGGCATTCTATTTGGCATATCTATCTGGCATATCTTCTGGCATATCTTCTGGCATTCTATCTGGCATTCTATCTGGCATATCTTCTGGCATATATTCTGACATATCTTCTGGCACTCTATCTGGCATTCTATTTGGCATATCTATCTGGCATATCTTCTGGCATATCTTCTGACATTCTTTCTGACATTCTTTCTAACTTTCTTCTGCACATTCTTTGTCCCATATCTTAACTTTATCCAAAAGCACTACTCAAGAGGGGTCTGGACCCCCCAAAATAAGATATACATATGTTACAGCATTTAATTTTGCATATTGTGATGCATTTTCTGACGCAAAGCTCTGCGTGGTGCCACATTTCTTGTAACATACAATTACGCAAAACTTTGCGTGGTATTACGGTATCATTTACGCAAAGCTCTACGTGGTGCGACATTTCTTGTGACATAAAATTTCATGAAATAACGCAAGGCTATGCGTGGTGCAACATTTCTTGTCACATAGCTCTGCGCAAAGCCGTACATTTGTTACAACATATGCAGCAGCATATATGACAGCATATGGGTTTGTATCTGCATCCTTGGCAACTCGTGATGTACATACGCAAACCTGTTTTTTGATTAAATACTGAAAGTGACTCAAAGACTCATAAATGACTATATATTCATAAAATCAAAAAAATATTAACAAATAAACATATTTATATAAATATAAATTGTGAATTATGAAGAATTAATTCAAATAAGCAATTATCATTGATTAAAAAATATATAGAAAATATAAATCTAAAAATAAATAAAATAAAATACCATAAAATAAGCTAAATAATAGATATGTCAATGAAATTAAAAAAACAGAATCATTACATTAATCAATCAAAAAAATGAACCTAGCTGTGTTGAGATGCAAATTGTAAGTTATAAGTTATAAGTAAGTTAGAAGTTATTTATATAAGTTAAAAGTGTTATTGTTGAAGTAATAAGACTACATATATATATATGTATGCATATATTTGTACATATAAATTATTAATTTAGTGTAATTAAATTGTCATATTTAAAATTTAACTAAAGGATTACTAATAAAAATTCAATAATGTAAATATATATATATATATAATTTTTAAAATTGCTATATTCAACTAGCTAAGATTAGACATAGAATTATAATTCATAGTCTAGTCATTGATTTTTGGAGTCATAGTAGTAGTCATTGTCTAGTCATGGTAGGGCCCTGTTATATATGTATAAGTTGTTAGGAAGAGTTATAAGAGCTAGAAATTATAAGTTAAGGTATAAGCTGTGAGTTATAGTTATAAGTCATAAGTTATAAGTTATAAGTTAGTGATAAATTAAAGGTATATTTTATAAGGTTTGAGTTTTAAAATATAATTTGTAAATATTAACGACTGAACTGTTGTGAGTTTGAGATTTTCAGGCTTAGCTATAGCTACATAAAGGCCCCATAGTAATGAGTCATGATAAATATAAGTAGTTAAAAGATCATATAAGCTATATTTTTTTAATGTAATATAGTATAGCACCCTATATCAGATATTGCTGCATTTGTGGTGGCATTTATGTTTGCATGCTTGCACATGTTGCTGCATTTGTGCTTACATAAACTACACATATGCTTACATTTGTGCTAACATTGCCCTTGACATATAAAAACATGTGTATTGACATTTACCACCACATAAAATAATATTTATACAGCATCTATTTACATTTAGATTTACATCTGTGTTCATTTCGCATTGCATTTGTTTACATTTAACATTGTATGTGTTTACATTTAGCAGTACATATGTTTACATTTAACATTGCATTTGTTTATATTTAGCATTGCATTTGTTTATATTTAGCATTGCATTTGTTTAGATTTAGCATTGCATTTGTTTACATTTAGCATTACAAATATTTACATTCAGCAACACATTTAATTACATTTAAGATTACAATTATTTTCATCCAGCAGCACAGCAAATGTATCATACATTAATGCAACCTATTAATACATGTGGTCGCACTGTCCAAACAATTTCCATACATTGGACCAACACTGTTCATGTCACAAATAGTTTATGTCACACCAAATGCCAACACATGCATCATAAAATGTAACAACAAATGCACATACATGTAACAACAAATCTAATTATATGTAACAACAAGTGTAACTATATGTAACAACAAATGTATAAGATCTTATTTTGTAAAGATAACATCTTATTTTATGTAATTACAGAAAATAATATGTTATTTTCACAAAATAAGATCTTATACATTTGCTGCTGCATTTAATTGCATATGTGTTTACATATACTTACATATGTGTTTACATATACTTACATATGTGTTTACATATACTTACAATAAATGCGTATATATTACGTATATATATATATATGTGTGTGTGTAGTATATTTATTGTAGCACCTGCTGGGTATGAGAAGATACATGTATGTAAGCTCATAACCACAACCACAACAAGTTCAGACAGGTACCACTACAAGTGTACCCAAACACCAGAAAATATATCACAACAATTGCATACAAATGTCACTGCAAATGCAAGCAGATGTAAGAACAAATGTATGAACCAACAAATGCACGCAAAAGTAACAAGAAAACAAAATATATGTAGCTACAAATGCAACCACATGTCAACCTAAATGTCAGAATAAATGCATAAGATAATATTTTTGAAAAAATAAGATCTTATGTTGAAAAATAAGATCTTATGCATTTCTTCTTACATTTATTAAATATATGTCACAAGAAATGCATAAGATCTTCTTTTGTCAAAACCTCTTATGCATTTCTTCTGGCATATGTTTAATATAGGTCACAAGAAATGCATAAGATCTTATTTTCAAAAAAAATAAGGTCTTATGCATTTCTTCTGACATATAATTAAACATATGTCAGAAGATATGCATAAGAGATTATTTTTGAAAAAATAAGATCTTATGCATTTATTTTAACATATACTAATGATATGTCAGAAGATATGTATAAGATCTTTTTTTAAAATAAGATCTTATGCATTTCTTGTATACACATTACAGTTTACACTCTTGACAAGTATATATATATATATTATATAACAAGATTTTCTTTGAAAGGGGTCCTCTGGGTGAAGGGTTCCTGGGCTGCGCGCCGCGCGCACGCGCGCGTGCGCGCCGCGCGCACGCGCGCGCCAAAAAGGCTTCATTTAAGAGACCTGCTGCAGCATTGCCTGACTCAGGATACTCATGGGTTTATCACAGACTCACTTCACAGATTCACAAGTTCATGATTCACTCACATCAAACCAATTGCACAACTAAAAACCAAATCAACAAACATGATATATATATATATATATCACAAACATCATCTCACATCACATCATTTCACATACTGTAATGTAATTAAATGAAATATATCATATCAAATATCATGATGTCATCATACAAATCAAATCATATCATATCATAATCAAATCAAATCATAACATAGTCAGAATCATAGTCAAGTCAGACCATACCATAACTCATGACTCACAACTCTTAACTCATATCTAACGCATAATTTGCTTACCTATTTTGTTGACTCAAATCAAAACATATCACATATCATCCTATCAAAATCAAATATCAAATCAGATCATATTCACATCATATCAAATCATATCACATCAAATCACATCAAATCAGCACATCACATCACATAAACTATGCACAAACTTTCATGCCAAGCAACTTCAGGTGTGTCTGCATGTGACTCTATGTATGTGGCAATGGCATGTATGTGACAGGCAGCAGCACCATCAATCTCCAATATGCAAGGTCAGACCATCATCACGTGTGAAAACACATCAAGCATACACATACCGCACCAGACCACAGACAGACACAGACAAACATATGCAATCACACAGATGTAAACACTATCTCGGCAATACATTTTTATGTAAGCATACGTGTTGAACATGTACAAATATATGTAACCACAAATGTCAAGCATGCACGAATATATGTAACCACAAATGTTGAGCACGTAATGACAAATGCAAACACATATGTCAAGAAATGTGAACACAAATGTGGATATATGCAAGGATAAATGTTATTATATGCAACCACAAACGTTTTAATACGCAAGGTGAAATGTAAATAAATGCAAGCATATATGTTAAGTTGCGCCGGTATAAATGTAAAATAAATGCAGTAATATATGTAGTACATGCACGTAGGCCTCCGTAGAGGGTCTCTAGAGAGGGCCACCAAAGAGCTTTTGGATTTAGCTAACACATATCTTCCGACATGAGGTATCTTCCGACATGAGGTCCGGCAGGGAACACTTGGCGTGGATACTCGCGGTTGAGGTCCGGCAGGGAACACTGGGCGCGGATGGTCGTGTTTGAGGTCCGGCAGGGAACACTGGGCGTGGGTGGTCGTGGTTGAGGTCCGGCAGGGAACACTGGGCGTGGATGGTCGTGGTTGAGGTCCGGCAGAGAACACTGTGGATCGCGGGTCGCAGTTGAGCCAGGACGACGAGGACGACGAGGACGACGAGGACGACAAGGACGACAAGGATGACAAGGAGGACGAGGAGGAGGAGGAGAGGAGGACGAGGCAGGAGGAGGCGGAGGAGGAGGAGCAGGAGGAGGAGGAGGCAACTGACATAAAATCTAACAACCCTCACCTGGCAGGTGGGGAAAAACACGGAACTCACTGTGGTCAAGCCTTTATACCTTGCATTCTTTTTAATTGGGTGGATCTGGTTGGTATATATCCACGCTTATGGCCAAAAATATAAAAGTCGTAAAAACTGCCCATCCAACTCCAAGGTTTCCCAGTCACCCGAGGAACTGTATGTAGCGATGTCATGCCGTATTCTGAGCTCATTCATCTGCTGAAACAGCTCTACGGCCTCGTGCCAGCGCGCTGCCTTGCCAAATGCGCTGATGGCTGTATTGTACCTTGGTGGCGTGATCCCCTACATCCAGGTACCAACTGTGCCAACATGAAGAAATTCATTCAGTTTTTAGGTAGACCAATCGAAATAATCGATCCTAACACAACATCAAAGCGTATGGCTGCAAATCATCTAGATACATGATGAGGTTGGGTGCACTTTTGCCGTTCCCGTGAGTCCCTTGGTTCATGATCTCGAGCACGAGCAAGGCAGACTGCCAAGCAGATCCGGTCTCGCAAGATTTCCTGGATTTGCTTAAGCACCCCCCGAAAGTCAAACATATTCCCTACAAGGTGGTGCCCCCAAGATAGCTAAGTTGGTTATAACTCCAATAACTATGGTTTATAGGTGATATATTTATAGTTAACGGGCTTATAACCAATTTATAACTGGGGGGGCACCACCTTGTATAGATTCCCCCAAGTGGAATTCCCCAGGGGGGGAAGTAAACAATAATCTTCGGAAAACAAATCACATGGGATCTCCGTCCCAGGTTTCTTGGATCCCAGCTGGAATAGCTGGAAACTGAAATATATATATATATATATATATGTATATAATCGCCATCTTAGATCATCATCCCAAATTAGTTGGTTTTTTTTTCAAAACCATTGTTGAACCCAAATAATCCCTTCCTGGCATCTAGTATGGGATTGGAAAGCACATCTTTGGGACCAAACAATAATCAATAAATGGTGTTTAATATGAATTGGGGATGAATTCTGACTGAAATCTACTGAAACCACAAGAACCGCAGTTTCAGGGCAGAGCTGTAGGTGACCACATTGAGCTGCAGCTGGCTCTTCAGTGCTTCACTAAAAACCTGCAGGGCCAATTGCCACTCCTCTCCCCGCACACAGGCGGTGATGAGAGCATTGTAGGCCACAACATTAGCATCCAAAAATGCGTCCTGAAGCCTGGATGAATGGGCAGGCATCCCCTTAAAGCAACACATGAAGCTGGGATCGAGTTATCTCCAACTTTCTGATCACCGAACCTTTAATTCCATGATAAATCATGAACTGTGTTGATTTCCTCTAATCTTACTGGTTCTTAGCAGGGAATGGATGGGACTGGGGGATTTGGATGATGATTACTAGTGATTATGAATCATTCCCTCATTCCATGATGAACATGAAAATATGTTGCTTGCAACTTGTAATCAACAAAGATTGAACATGCAACTGCTTGTAAATCATGAACCCAGAAACTCCCCAAACAAATGGGCCGCCAGCTGCCATTGCTGGGCCCGGCTGCATGCAGATAAAGTTGTGGCATAGATCACCAAATTTCGCTGCAGCTGTCGATAAGACATCTCATCAAAGAGCTGAAGAGCCTTCTTCCACTGCCCGCCTTAGCTGGAACTCCCGTGGACTGTTGAATTCAGGGAGAGGGTATGATGTTTCTGTATGTTTCCTTTGGGGGTAATTGGGTAATCCCCAACAAACATTTTTTTTCCGGAAACGGTTCTTAATTAAACACAAACATACATGACATCTCCCAGTTCACTCCCCGTTTAACAATATATCGCCTTACCTCTGAACTGGCCATCGCGCACGGGCCAGTGACCCAATATGGCGCCTGGCCCCCTATGCGGAACCCCACATAACGCACCACTGTACCTCTTTCCTCTTTAATTTAGTTACTTGTACCCATTTAGTGGTTGGTTTCTGACCCCATGGGTGTTCTTTTCTTGACTAACAAATAACTATAACAACACACAATAACTTTCAATAAATAATAAATTTGCTACAATTTAAACACCACCACTGTGGTGAACCCAATTATAAACAATCCCCAAGTTGCATGTTTTTGCATGTTTGACCAGACACTGGGTGTTTCATGAGTTTGACCATTTTTCGTTTCATTAATTAGCTAACAACTTCATGTTTACGTGGCAAATGTCCATTGCATGCTACTTAAATGATTTTGCAAACTGAAAAATCTGATGGTAATCCCATTCAACCTATTTTTTAAAACTCAGTGGTCATAGTATCTTCTTCCATTCTGCCACTATAATAAACACCGTTAGTTCGACATGTTTGAAGACGATTCAAAACCAAATGACATCAAACAGGACCAAACACAAACAACCTTAATTACGTGCATATATATATATATATATACATAATTCCTTCATGACAAGCCCCATCGAAAAGCCCTGGTGGTATTCCAATAGCCACCGCCCTGCCTTGTTCCAGGGCCTGTAAGGCCGCTCCCACGGTCACCACATCTGGCGTCACCGAGGACAGCGAGGACAGGGCGCGGAGCCACTGAGCACCTTTCGCCAGGGCGTTGGTCATGGAGTTCCAAAGGATCCTGGCGGCTGAAATCTTTTCATGGTGATTAATGGTGATTAATAGTAGTGATTAATGGTGATTTATATGTGATTTATATGTGATTAATGGTGATTAATGGTGATTAATGGTTTTTAATCGTGATTAATGGTGATTAATGGGTAGGTACCGTAGACATCATTGGAATTGTGCACTTGTCATTGTGAATTTTCAGGTATTGCTGAATATTATCTTTATTCTTATTGGGGCTCTTTAATTGTTACTGTGTAATCTTTGGTATGACATCATTTACAGCAGTGACCCACATCTCTATGGGGAGCTTTCCGGAGTGTCATGGTGCTACAGTACCCCAAGTCATCCAAGTATGAAACGATTTTAGGAAACCCATGGTGACTTGGGGATCCTCCATGTTAAGAAACACGCAAATAATTATACATATATATATAATATATGTATATGATTATATATGTATATACCCCGAAACATCAATGCGTATCTGCCATGGGTTGTAGTTGAAAATCCACGGGCCGCCTGCACATATCAAATACCCACCTAACCAAATGCTGATTCTGTATTGGATCCAATCACTCTTTGGGTCGCATACAGGCCCACTTCAATCTGAATTGATCTTTAGATTTTGATGGCAACAGAACTTTG